TTACCTAACAAGTTTCTACTTCAGGTCATTCTGACAAGTTATTCTATTTTTGATTAGTAAAAAAAAAAGTGTATTTTTGAAGCTGAAAGGAAATAGTGGTATGATTTTTTGATGCATCCAACTTCAATTGCACAGCCACTCTTGCAGAAAGAAACTTTGCTTTCCATGGTGCTTCTGGATCAGAGGACTTGTAATTGCTAAACAATGGAAACTCCTTGAAAGAAAAAGAATTACTTGCAAAGTTGGATATAGAACTGGAACAGCATGTAGGATGTGTTCAAAAGTGTAAGTTCCAGAATCACTATTTAAAAAAAGGCAGGCTTTGTTGGAAGTGAGAAAGAAATGTACCAACCAATGTACAAATGAATGTACCCACACATCTTGCAGAGAAATAAATGTCTTGAAGGCAGAAAAAACATTTCCTATAAAGTACCTGACAAGCCATTTGAAGATACACTTATGCAGTTAGATGTTAATTTTTTAAATATGAGTGAATTCAGCCATCACACCAACTGAAGAAAAATTTCAAAACTATGAAATTGTGAAAGTCAAGCATGGAATACAATGGGATTTCAAACAGACAGTTGAAATGTCTAAAGAATTGTTAAAGGAGAACAAACTATAATTTTCATACATGCATTAAATTAATGCCTGATAACAGGGGGAAATTACCAAATATTTTTGGTAATGGGTTCAGTAATTGTCAAGATATGGCTAAAGTAACCTTCTGTTTAACATGACAAACATTGCTCTAACAGTAGCCATGTTTAGCAGGTCCATGACATCACTAAACCTATTCCAATTTGTATCCGAGTGAGTTTTATATTCATTTAGCATCAAAGGCTTGACTTTGATTTCTGTGGTAAAATAGAAACAACTAAAATTTAAAAACTACAATGCATTAAGATTTCCTGGATATAATTTTGAGCCAGAGTATTTGGAAGAAGAAATAAATGCAATGTATTTTAAGGAACAAACTGAGAGCGAAGCCACAGGGCTGAGTGAGTAGTGTGCGTGAAAAGACAAAGACTTGAATAAAACGTGTGCTGCAGAAGATTTGATTTGACAATATCAAACATTGGAAATAAGAACAATTACAGAACATTCATATTTTGATGACATCATAATAAATACTGCTATTCTTCAAGTGGCCTACATATAGCAGACTTGCATTTACCTTTAGCTTCATGCAACTTATTGCCTGGCAATGTGGCATAATGATTTCAAATAATTCATAATATAAACAATTATTGTCTACAATGGACACTTTGATAGTGCAAAGTCATGTAGCCCTTTTTAACAAGATCTACTCAAAACACTGAATATATTTCATCCTCCTCAAGTATTGATTTAGTTACTGTAGACACATTTCCAAATTGTAACTGAACTGAATTTTAATCACAGAAAGCTCTATTATTACTTTCACTGGTGAAGAGAGCTTACAGCATGGCTACATCCACATATTCACTGAAGTTGTCGATTTGTAAACCTTACACAAGGAAATCTCACTAATGTGAACTTTAAATTATTATTTTTTTAAATATTTAACTTTGATAACACTTGCATCAAAATAAGTTCAATTTGATGGATATAGTTCATTTACCTTTAAGCAAGTACTGCAATAAGTTGCAAAACAATCTCAGTTCTGGAAAATGAATCACATAACAATAGAAGGGATCTTTTCCATGATACCTTAAGTACATGCAATTTGCTTCCAAAGAAAATGACAACTTTTGATGTCCTTTTCCTTGTACACAAAAACAAATTAAGAGATATTTCTTAACATTTAGATTGTACTGAGACTTGCTGCAACACTCACAGAAAGGAGATATCTAAAGCTGATAAAAACATTCTTGTGGTCATCTATGGAACAGGATCATTTGTCTAGATCGGCAATTATAAGCATCAACCATAATTTAGAAAAGCAAAAAGTATCAGAGACAACAAGTGTAATGGAGGCAAGGTACCACTTGCATATCTTATTATTCACCACCTAAACACTGATCATCTTATTCATCATTGACTTTTTAGCTATCTTTATATTGGTTTTGTCATTTTGACTGACCTTGTAACCCCCCCCCCCCATATAGTCATGGAACTATACATACTATAATTTTGAATGCACAAGGGGTATCTTCACAAAATTTGGCTAACTTTTAGTAAACATTACAAGCCTGTTGTACACATAAAAATCAGATTTTTTAATAAATTTTTTTACTAAAGATTTACCTGTGAATTTATGAAACCTTTACTGAGTCAGTCTGAGTAAAAGGAGATTTTCATACTAAGAATAAAAATACTATTATTCATCTCAGTCTTTATCTTTCATTTTCATAATTTCTAAAACCTCCTAAATGAATATCAAGTTTGTTTTGATTTTTTTTTTTAGGTGGAGGCACAAAATTTTATACTTTATCTCGTATAGCAAAAGTTGGAAAATATAAAAAGAAATCTTAAATAAAATTTTTTAATCTAATGACTTGAGATTGTTACAGACAATCTACATAAATAGTACGCTTGCATTTATCTGTCTGGAACTTTTCTCGCAAATTTCTCGATCAAAAACTACAAAATTCATATCATTAGAAAGGTCTTTGTCTGAGGAGTCCAAGATTGCATATTGGCTTTTCCATTCAGAACCCCTTTACTTGTTTTTTGCTTAGTCAAACTTTTTTATGCATGCAAGGAGTACAATACATGATGGCACAATGTAATCATCATCACAAGACAGCTGGCTTCAATTTCAACTTAAATTTTTTAATTGCAAAGTATTTCACACAAACAACACTTAAACTAGATATAATTTTTAAAAAATTAACATTACACTAGATACAATTTCTATGCACTTTCTTGACTTATTTTGATCTAAAATACGTAGAAGCAATTTGTTCAAAACCATATGCTCGTCACTTTGTGAACATGCTGCATTCAGATGATTCTGCATAATCAGCTAAGTTTGCCTTCAATACAACTTTACATTTACTTTATTTTGCAATAATTTAGCATCAGTTCATTTCATAGACTACTATTAACACCTTTTAGCTATGTTTTTTCTTTAAAATGGGTTTTATTCTATGTTTCTGTGTTTGTGTCATACATTGAATGCATATAATTGTTTCATACTCTGTACACTATTACAAATACCCTTACCTTACTGTTTACTTTACATGTAGTTTCATTAAATAAAGTTACGTATGTGTGAGTTTGTTTGTCTGACTGCATAAAACTTTTTCACATAGACCAGGATTTATTGATCTAACACAGCACCTATATGAAAGCATAGCTTAAATGGCATGCATAAAAATGATAGAATAAGGAAATTTCAAGCTAAATGCATGAAAACTACTGCTAATGTTTTGCAGGTCCCAAATAGCCTCAAGCTCATAAAAGTTTCACATATGTTTTCATTTACTTTTATTGTTTCATTACTTGTTGAACCATGTCTAACTATCAAAGCATTATATCACCTGACAAAAACTGAATGCAAACTAGGGTAAAAAAGGTACTGAATTACACCAAGTGATAGCAGCCCACATGCATTTCTTAAGAATGTTTTTATTTAATTTTTCTTTCCTTTAAATTTTATTATATAACCTAACAAGTTTTTAATTTTTACAATTTAGCTTCTTTTATTAAAAAATATATCATAAATAAAAAAACATACATAAAAACCAAGATATTTAGCCTTGAGACCTTTTGCTCTTGGGTGCATAGTTTGGAAAGTCTATTTTCTCACTATGCTGATTATCCAAAAATAATTAATGTAGCTCTTAAATATGCATTTCAGAACATAAAAAATATTTCAGAAACTAGATCAGTAAATCCCAAAACTGCTATAATTTACCTGGGTTTCTAACTAACTTATAAACAGATTAAAGAATCATTAGTGAGCAGAGCAATGTTTTAATCCAAACACAAACTCTCACATCGAATTCTCAGCTAAAAACAAAACAATCTTCTTATTTATGCTGTGCAGAATTTGTTCTTTCTATTGATTATAAACATGTCCAACAGCAATATTAGGGAAAATTACAGAAATTTCTTAAAAGATGGGATATGGGAGGAGGATATCTCAGTAAAGCAAGAAAAGATTGAAACTTTAAATTCTGGCTTGTCAATATCTATGGCCTTGTAAGGGATGAGAAAAAAAAATTATAAATGAAAAGTCACAGCACCACAAATTCATGTGACTGAGAGGTGCAGACTGAGAAATTAGTTAAAGTATTTCTTTTTGAAATAAAACCTTAGATAACATAAAATATGAATTATAAAATACATTCTGATGCCAAGTTTGACATACACTGATAAAGCAGATTAAATTTTGAATGTCATTCTAAATAGTTTCATGTGTATATTTCACCAACCCATAAGCAGACAGTTAATAAGTGTGTCTTGATACACATTTTTGGTTTGTGGAAATAATGCAATTAATATTTTTTAAAGGGGTTGGTAAAGAAAGGAGACCAAAAGTATTTCTACTTAGAGACCCTAGTTGTGGTTCTAAGCAAAGCTAGTTATTGGTAAAAACTGGAATGGTGATTATTTACTGTGAATAAAAAAGTATTTCACGTGAGTAATAAAGTAAAACATCTCTTAATAACTGCAAAATCTTTATATAAGCTGCTTCTTCACAGAGTAAAAACAAAAATAAAAATGTCTGTCATCAAACCAAAGATATTACTGATTCTGTGACTTAGAAGTTACTCTTCAGCAATCTTCAAACCTCTACAATACTTATTAGTTTTCAAAGATGAACTGTGTAATGACAAAGATCATCTGATTGACAAATTCAAGGTAATTACTTTTCATTACGGTAATTTTATAAAATTTCTATATTGTAAGATTGTATTCTGTACATACATGTTTGTTACTATGGTACTTAAAAATTATGTTCAAGAAGTTCTTTACGTGTCATCTCACCGATAAAAAAATATATTCCAAAATCTTTCACAATAAATTATGAGTGTATGTATTTTATCTAAAAAGGAACTAAAACACACCTTCCCAGCTTTACAATGGATGGCAGCAACATTATTCTTATCATCAGAGATCCAGTGATCAACATCTTCACAAAATGGCTTCATTAATTCGAGTCTTGGAGGGTTATGATCATCAAAAGGATACTGTGCTACCCGTTGATGGAACTTTCCTGTGTCATAGTTTCTTTCTGAGCAACTGAATGAAAAAGGAAAATGTTCATTTTGACAATTTGTAAAATTCATATTAACATTTGTATATGTGTTCAATGACTCCATTCTCATTATTTTTCATAGCTTCAGATACATTTGTACAATGCATGAGAGCAGCACCAACACAGGTACACAGTGTTTTTATTTACTCATTTTAAAATACAGGTGGTTTAGGTCAAATCTGCATAAAATTCTTGTATATTCTACAAACACACATAAACAATATTATAGTACACTTGAGTAATGAAATAGATGATTAAAGCACTATAAACACAACAAATATAAAATTGGGAATTTAAAAACCTGCAAATAGAGATCATAAAAAAATAAGCAAACAAGTCTGGAGATACTGTTGACATTATTTACTTAAACTACAGATCTCTGTTTTGACTCCATGCTGTTACTTATAATTATATTTGGTGATGTCAAAATAGTGACTTGTAGTTTGAGTAAGTAATGTTTATAATATCTCCAGCCTTGTTTGTTTACTTATTTACGATCCCTACCTAGAGGCTTTTTAATTCCAAATTTTTTATTCATCTGTTTGCTGACTTTCTTAGCCTCACCTATGGGCAAAGGATTACTTCATATAGTAGCTAACTTTATACATTGTAATGATAATAAACACAGCTGGTGGCTATCTGATACGATTTATGATAATTTCTGTAATTATTGACTATCTATTGCATTAGTTCGAGACATAAAATGTTAAGCTGCAGCTAAAAATTGTCATGGAGATTTGTTTGAGAATATAGTGAGCATTTATAGTTTCTATGTAACTAAATTCTCTATATATGATGCATAGCAATGTGCAAATGTCCCTAGACTAAGACTCAACACCCAGTAAGCACATATAAAATTTTACCAGTAGAAAAGCAGCCTCTTCAAATAAAACATATATGTATGAAAAATTACTTTAAATAAACCTTCATGTCTTTTAAAGTAATTATTCTATGAATGAGTATAATAAAATTTAATATTATATGTCCTGATTATTTTTTTTATTCATTCACCTCACACATAATTTAGAGGTTGGCTCCATAAATACACCAATTGTATAGTGTACAAAGCACTAAGTATCTATGTGTCATAGTCATCTAATTTTCATCTGCTATCGATTGGTAATCCCAGTTTCACCTTGTACTTCAGCTTTTTAAAGTAACACCGGATATTTGTATGCTAACTTCAAAGGGTAATTATAACATTGTTTGCACTAGAATTATGAAATTGTTTAGCTTATGTAAAACATAGAACAAATCGACTTTTCAATACCACTACGACCTTTGAAGTACCTTATTTAGTATTCTACAATAGGTTTGAAAGCAATATATCAAGCAGTTTTTGTTGTAGGCTGGCATGAGAATAATAACAAGAAAAAGAAGAATTACAAACAAGCCATTGAATGGATTTTCTTTCCCTTGTAAGTCTAATGTTCATGCTTTTTTATGCAATTTTATAAGTATAAAGCCTTAGTAGTCAATAGTAAAGGTTTTAAAGTGTTATTTGAACTGAATCTTTATTGTTTAAGGTGCTTTATGCCCTAACTTTCTATTAGGGATTTGTGCAATTCCTTGCAATCCCTATTAATGACAAAAAGAGCATCATTAAACAGTGTCATGGGAAGGGGAATATACTGTGAAATGTATCTAAAATAACTGAGATAGGCCTAGCAGATTCTGCAGTAGAGGCCTGGAAGGCAATCCATGATAAGGTGGAGGAAAACTGACAAAATCTGGGTTGTCTGAAAATAGGTTCAGCCATTATAGGAGGAAAGCAAGCACTACTGGGAGCAGGTAGGGTGGACCCTGGACCCCAGGGGCCCTCATAAATGAAATTAATGGTAAGAAACATATATTATAAATGAAATCAATGGTAAGAAGTATAAACTATAAAGAAAGATGAAAATGAAATAGTCTATAAAGTGGAAATGTTAAGAAATTGTGTAGCGAAATAAACATATGTATGTGATGTTATTTGCAGAAGAAAAAATATTTAACCTAATTATCAATTAACGTATAAATAGAACCACAGGTAAACCAAAAATAACAGACACTTATTAAACCTAATCGAACAAGATATTTAACCTAATTATTGATTAACCCGGAAGTAGAACTACAGGTAAACCGAAAATAACAAACACTTGTGAAGCCTAATCAAACAGTACAGAACAAAGGATATCACTAAGCACTAAAATAAAAACTTAACCAAACAATAAGTATGTATAATATTGGGAGAAGTTTGTTTGGACCCAGCTCAAGGGTTCCACGCAAACCAAAAGTGAATAGGAAGAAGGATAAAAGATAAATAATAACGAAAATGAAATAGATATGATTGTATAAAATTAAGGAAGTCTGCCGTAACAATAACATATGTATGAGACATGATGTATGAAAAAAAAACAATATAGTTAAATTAATGATTGATATATCAGTAAAATGAATTACAGTTAATTCTAAAATAACAAAGACCATGGTAAGCCTAGGAGAACGGCAACAACTAAGAATAATTGCTAACCTGAATTTGACTATAAGTATTAACCAATCTAACAAAACTTTTGGAACCCAAATAACTACAGATAATAATATTAACAATAAAATTATTCAAAAACCATAACAGAAGAACATCTCATCTTTCCAAAGTCAGTGGACTGTATTTTAAATGTGTGGGACCTCAAACTCGAGGTGAGGACCGACGAAAGTCAGTTCATTGGACAATCAATCTCCCAATGAAGTAAAGCTGAAAATCTTCCCGCGGAGTACCACGACCTGAAGCTGGTGGAAATGTACTAATAGAACATATACCCTCTGAAGTGGTAATGTAGAATTCATAATGCAAAATGAATAACCAAACACAACTGTGTTGGCAGAAACAAATAAGTTTTTGTAATAAAGTAATAATTTCCGTAACTGGGTAGAAATATAAAATAATTCCACTTTGGAAGAACTCAACAAGTTACAAATATCACTATTGTATAATAAGAGAAATTAATACAAATGTATGGGAAAAAATTTAAATAAAACACTTGAAGAGAGCACAAACAAAACATTATAGCACAAATACTGCCAAACGAGAAGTGATAGTTCAGTAGAATTGAATATAAGGAGTCGCATGCATCAAGAGTGTGTGTCGCACTCTTATTGGAGGAGGGATTGCAGCATGATAACTTGCATGTGAGACACATTGGAATTAGTCAATTCCATATGGGTGGGAGTTTTAAGGCTTGTGGCGTGTGTAAGATATTTTTTTTGCATATAGAGGGCAACACTGAATGAGAATAGCTATTTATGTGGGTGGATGTAATGTACCGTATCGTAAAAATTATTAGAAAACTACTGTCACTAAGACAACCAATGTTTTAGGAAAATTCTGTCAATCTGATATTTGTTGCATTTTATGAGGACTTTCTTTGCTGAGCTAAACTCATATTGCCTTCTTGTTCTCACCATAAGTTCTGATACACTATAATTAGTAGCAATTTGACTCTACTTGAGTAGTTTATGCAATAATACACCTAGTTTAAGTTACAAGATACAGAATATTTCAACCACAAGTGTAAATGTAAGATATAACAGTCTACCTTTTACTTGATATCTATATCATTACATCAAAAGAGGTATTTAATTTAGTGATTGCCTAGTGCCTCACCTGACTAATGAGATATTTAATCACTTATTTTACCAAAGTGTTGTAAGTGATGTTACCTATAACAGGTATAAATCTCATAATAAAATTAATTTTTCACACACTACCATTTTTTGAGACTCAAAATCAAACATTAGTTTTTAAACTGGCCTTCTCACTCTTCCCCTCAAGTAAACTTTACCATAACTTGATCAATTTCCTGTCTTGCTTCCTTCATTTCTGATCCTAATCTGTTATTTTTATCTATTAATAGTCATCTTACCCAAACCTGTAACTTATTCTCAAGTAAGTTAACTCTGCAACTGAAGTGTAATGTACCTTTCTGAACCTATTTAAAATCACAAGGAATTTTCACATATTCATTCCTATGAACTCAACCCCACTCACACCAATGTAATAGCTGGAACAGCTATTAATTTCACCCTTCCATAACTGGTATGGAATAACTAGTCAGGTGTATTCATGTAATTCTTCAAATTTTCAAGGAAGTTTCCTGCATGTAGCATGACATTCTTGTTAACTGAATGTCAAAAGATGATAAACATGTATTAATTATTTTACTTAAGTAAAGGTTGTATATGCCACTGGCTGAAAAAACTTATCACTTGAATCTGGTGTCTGTCCCCCGTGTAAAGATGTGGCACAGATATTTACAGAAATTATTAGGAATTAGCATTTTTTTCTTCCCTATTAATGTTATTTGGAAAAAATTGTTGATGTTAGCAGCATTATATTCTGGCATACCACACATCAAAATTTTTCTACGAGTTTGGGTGGTATATTAAAATCTTTTTGTCCTCATCCTGTGCAAACTTGGAGTTGAATTCTTCCTGATCTTGTCTCTCACCCCAGCAGCCAAAGGCTGGTTAGTTTATGTATAGCTTGGAACATTTGTGAATAAACTTTCCTTTACTTGTTCACTTTTGTGTTTCTTTTGCTGTCCATGCTCAAAATTATTCTCTGCAGTATATTTCCTGAAGTTGTATCCTTGGAGATGCTTATAATCTTTTGTTGGAATCAGTAGACCTGAATATCACTGACAATTTAAAAAAAGAACATTTTGGTGCTGTGACTAAGATGTTTGTTATTGTAGAGCTTACTTTGAACATGCTTTCTTTTCCATGTCACTATGTATTTGTAACTTTCAATAATCATTAACATGGAAAGGTACTTTCTGAGACCAAGGTAATTGCTAACAAAACCATGTATTGCAAGGTGCTGGTTTGAGTTACCCATGGCCAAGAATAGTAGCAAAATGAGCTTGTTTGATGTGAAATGCCATGACAAAGTCAGGTGGAGTTGCTAGTAATCCATCACGATTCAGCAGATTATTGAGTTAGGAGC